TGACACCATGCTGATCGAGATGCCAACGTCATAAAATAAACCACAATGAAGTAAATAAATATATAAAGGTTGACACCTTGAAAAAATCCAACCTTCTGAGAGAAATGCAAATCATTGAGATATAATTTGTCATCATTCCTGACCTGCCCTATCATTAGTAATAAGAAGTAGCAAACTGTTTGATGACCTGAATTGCCTGATTACTCATCGTCAACCAACCTCAGGCACATCAAGGTTTCTTGACGATCACTCCATTAAAGATATCAGGAAGACATTAAGGCATCAAAATTCAAGTATTACTTTTTCCTTCCTTCTCTGACACATGCACAGTATACACAGAAATGGTGGATTTAAGGTTCGCAGTGAAGTGACTATGAAGAGAATGGTCTTCTAGGTTAAAATGCCATATAGTTAACAGACAGCCCTCTTCAAGCTACACAGCGTTACAGCCCAGAAGGCTATACTCTTTATACAGTAATGTATTGTAGCAACGAAAAAAAACACACTTTAATGAAGATGTATATCCTGGGTACCCAAATCTGAATATGTACCTTTTTAAATACAGTGTGTTCAAACGAGATTGAAACATTCTTCCTGAAACAGCACAGCAGCTGTTTACTGTGTGACGATACAGGGAGCAGTTAAGGGGATTTTCATGCTTTGATGCTGACTCTCTCTAATAAAATAGAACTTACATACTAATTATTGTAAAAAGGTGTTACCGACTTACCATATTTGGAATTGACTTCCATGTGCTTTCAAGCATGCTTTACAGCAGGTAAACAAATTTTGGATAACATTCTCAAGTTTCAAAATAAATAATTTGCCACACACAAAAATTACTGTAAGGAAAATCTGTGTAATGAACTTTTCACTGGTTATTACATTCCAAAAAAAATCAAATTAGAGGAGATAAAATGCAACAAAGGAATTCTAGTCTACTACTATGACAATTCCATTAAAAATTATGCAACATGAAACTGCATACCTTGTTCAATGTATTAAAGCTTCCTAACTGGCATAAAATAACACCTCAACAACATTTCAATAAACGATACACCGAGTTGGTTGAGGCACTATGCTAAGCCAAAAGGTTGCAGGTAAATTCCTGATGAGGTCACTGGATTTCTTCAATTTACCTAATCCTTCCAGTTGCATTATGGCCATGGGGCCAACTCAGCCACTAACAGAAATGAGTACCAAGAATCTCTGTGGGGGTAAAGGGTAGCCAGTGAGTAAGGTTGTGACCTCACTGCCATCTGTGAACTGACTTTCTAGAAAATGTGGGAGCCTCGATGTCTCACAGCCCTATGGGCCTCCATGGCCTGTTACAAGGATAGCTTTACCTTTTTATACCTACACTATAAGCTGAACTGCAAAAGTGTATAACTTAAAATATGGAACCAATAATTATGGATGTAAATGAATATAAATTCCATACTCATAACAAAGACGCATCAATATTGTACCACTTTATCTGTTTGCGGCTTCCTGAAATTTCTCAAACACACAAACAAATTCAGTCTTAAACACCTCAAGCCTATAATGCCCTTATTTGTTTTATAAACGATTAAATTACACACTTCTTTCTTCTTAACAGTCAACAGAAACAACTCCCCAAATTATCCGCAATGGATGGAATTCTGATTTTTTCAGTACATTCAAAGACACGTTATTTTATGTTACCAAGAAATTTCATGACAGTATACCAATTCAGTGAATTATCATCATATCAAAACTTTCAACTACATACTGCAGTAATTTAGTGATCTCACCTAGATTAAGTCATGAATATAGCAGAAGAGGTTCATATATAAAAAAGAAAAAAAAAAGAGAAAGACCATGTAGACTCAGGATACAATCCATGCAGAGGAAGACTAAGGAGACAACAAAAAAGAGGACCTGAGATCAGTAGAGGCATTAAAACACCAAATCTGCGATGAAAACAAAATATTTACGAGCACCACTAAAGGTGAGGACATAATTAAAACACTGGGTAACAAAAAATCAACGGGCATTGACGATATTCCAGAGTTCATTATTAAAAAATGTCATCCTCAACTAGTAAATGCTCTAACATACATTATAAATCTGTCATTTTCATCTGGTTATTTCCCCGACCAAAAATAGCAAAAGTGAAACCCTTGTATAAGAAAGGTTGTACTGCAGATGTTCGCAACTACAGGCCAGTGTCATTAATTTCGGTTTTTTCTAAAATAATCGAAAAAATTATGCACAATAGACTTTTATAATTCATAAATAAGTACAACATAATCAGCAATAAACAGCATGGATTCTGCAAAGGAAAATCAACACATACAGCAATCACAGAATTTACAAAAACAGTTTACAAAGCACTAGATGAAAAAGAAATGAGTATAGGGATATTTTTGGATTTATCAAAAGCTTTCAACCTAGTAGATCATGATATATTGCTGAGTAAGATGGAAAGAATGGGAATACGAGGGGTTACACTAAGGTGGTTCCAAACATACTTAGAAAACAGAGAACAAGCGGTAGAAATTACATACAGATGCAAAAAAACTAATCGTAACATTAATTACCTATCCCGAAAGAGACCCATCAGCTATGGCGTCCCACAAGGTTACATTCTGGGACCAGTGTTGTTTCTGTTATACATAAACGACCTGGAGGCTAGCGTAGAACATGGGAAAACTACGTTCTCTGCTGATGATACTAGCATTTTTATAGCAGGAAATAGCGCTAACGAAATTCAAAGGAAAACAAATGAAACAATATACAAAATCACAAGGTGGTTTGAGAGGAATCGATTAACTATTAATAAAGAGAAAACAGTAGCAATAGCCTTCCATCATCCTCAAAAGCTACAACTTGAATGCCCTCCAATAAAGATTTATGACACAGTTATCAACTACACAGATCACTCAAAATTTCTGGGAGTCTGGCTAGATAAGCATCTAAGATCGACTATGCATACGCAAAACCTAGCAAACAACTTATGTAAAGTATGTTTTGGCCTAAGGGTAGTTAGAAGAGTAACTGGACTAGAGACTGTCCGCATGTTATATTATGCTCGTTTCCAATCTTTGTTATCATATGGACTGATATTCTGGGGCAACTCTGTAAATGCAAAATTGATCTTTAAATTACAGAAGAGAGCCATAAGAGCTATGACCCAGGTCCCAAAAACGACTAGTTGTAAACAAATTTTCAAATCATTACATATATTACCTCTACCATCTTTGTACATATACGAAACTCTAATATACATAAAATCCAATTCGAATGAATTCACAACCAACTCAGGATTACACTCATACAACACAAGGAAAAAAGATGACTTGCACATCATCCCATGTAATACAAGTCTATGCAAGAACAATTTTAACAATGTAGGACTTCGACTGCTAAATCATCTGCTACGATATAGTAAAGAAATATCGGTACTATATAAGTTCAAAAGCGCTTTGAAAACTTACTTATTCGATCACTGTTTTTATAAAGTGGATGAGTTTCTCTCGTGTGAGACAAACACTAATCAATTACAACCACATAATTCACGAACAATCGGTTTTGGGAATCCCTACTGCGCAGTCTTCCTTTCTTTCTTCCAGCAACCAAGATAACGAAGTCGGAGATATATATGAATGGGCTATTCTGGAGAGATTCCAGATACCAAGAAGGGAGAACAGATGTAATGAGATGTTGCAGTGTAGAGTCTACAGTGAAACGTTATACCAGTGGTATCACCAAATTCACCAGTATTATCTCAAAGGCCGCGCCATAGCTTAAGTGGTTAGTCGCTGGCTTCCCACCGCTGCGGTCTAGTCAAGTGGGATTTGTGATGGACAAAATGGCGCTGGGGCAGGTTCCCCATGCTGGTTCTCATTGCAACAACTGCAGATAGTCACTAATCACTCCAACATTGATGCTTTATAATCTCATTACTGACAGTGCCATTAAATAATCAACTTCAATAAAGAAACTCAAATAGAAGCCCCTAGCAAACATCTATTTTTGCTACCTGCGCATCATCAGGAAGCTGTCAAAATAATGCTCTTAATTTGAGCAACAAAGATGGACTCAGTCTGNGTAACAATGATCTATAGAGACGAAATAAATACATACATATATACATCATGTGGCTCTAAGGATTTTGGGAACAAAGTGAATGGCTTTTACATAAAAAGCAACAAAAACTATATTTATTGTTTGTCTATGATTCCTTGTCACATTAGGAGAACTATAAACCAGCTACAGCTCTAAAACAGTCTGAATATACCTGAACAATAGTATTTTCAAAGTGTGTTTCAATCCAATCATTCACCTACATGCAAATACTGTGAGCATAATTAGCTCAGGAGGAGCCTGGAAAATTGAATGGCCCCTTTGTACCTTGTTTGAATATGATCCTCAATGAAGAGTCTTGATGTTATGTCTTTAGTGAACAAGTAAATACATGGGTGAACTCATTCTCTGCCACACACATAAAAACCAACAATTTATGCTACCAGTTCTAATTGTAAATAACTGACATAAAAACATTTCTACACCTCACCCCTTTTAAAAACAATATCATAGTAACGACACCCACAAAAGATTGAAACAAAAAGGAATATAAAAATGTGTAATATCTTCTGTTTGCAAGAGTACCATTCCTCCTGCACCTGTATTATCAAACAAAAGAAAATATATCCCAAAACATTAGAATGCAAAATACTTTCTCTAAACATAACCCCTCATAAAAATCCAGCCTTTTAAATGAGATTCTTTCACTGACAATTTGTTCCAAAACCATGCATAAACTCAAAAACCTAAAATATGATATGAAGAAAAGCATTAGAAGTAAATGTGACCCACTTATACAAACTGTCTCACATAAAATGATCTCATAATAATGTCTCGAGCATCATAAAGAAAAAATCTAAGTTATTTGAAACAAAAAAATAGTGGCCTCAAAATTGATATGCAACCAAACAACAACAGATGAATAACACAACGAAGTATAAATATCCTACCTGATATGTGGAATTCCAACACCACCATGTAGAATCTTGTACAGTTTACTTTCATACAGTAATTGTGGATGTCTTGCTCTTATTGACTCCAGCTTCACAGCCACTTCCTACAAAACAGAAATTATGTAGTCACTTCCAGTGGCTGCACAAAACACTATTGTCACTTAATGTCCGATCCTCAGACTCCACAGAATATGCAATTTTCAATTCAGATAACGTTTCAGAAAGCTTTAACTTAAGAACACAGCAATCACATAAAATATTTTGCAATGATAGCAATAAGCAATTCTTTGGTGAAACTCACATAACATAAAAGACATTTCAAATAAAATCTGTAGACATTAAGACAGTATACATATCAAGCTATGCAACTATTTTTTACATAACGAACCACTGTACAAAAACTGATAAAAGTTCTTATATAAGTTTGATGTAGATCGCCTATACCACATTTCATATAAATCTGTACTGCAGTTTCAGAGATGAAACAATGAAGAACAGGCATGATTGCTGCATTATTCATTCATCTTACACATTTCATACATGGCACAAAAACAAGATATCCTCTCACCCTTAACTACATTACAACAATTGAGTTTCAGGCACAATATTTTGGGCTGAGGAGATATTAAAGCAGGCATATATAATAATTCTAAGAACAAGCAGAACAAGTTCCTATAAACTGTAGTATCAAATGGATTGAAATGAGACAGCGAAAAAGAAAACTTCAGACTTTCTATTAAACATCACATTACTGGCTTCCTGTGTCCATTGCTCATTAGGGTGAAAAAAAATTGAGGACAAGTATCAAAATTAACTGATGAATTCTAAACACTATAAGTATAGTGTAACGAATAACCGTAACATACAATACCAGTAAACTTACTATGCACAACTTTTCGCAAATGGAAGGTCATAATACCTATGCTAATAAGATAAGTCTTTTAAGTAAACAAATGCAATTAGCTTACAGCCCAGGTTGAGAACTTTTCTTTGTTTGAATTTCATAACAAATTCCAGTGAGAGGTCCTATAATTACACACCAGAACAATTAATCAGGGGTCTTATAGTTACTCACCAGTACAATTAAAGCACACAAAATATATTTTAATAAAATAATTTATAGCAAATTATGGTAATTTCTGTGACAAGTTAATATTAACTTCTGCCAGAATGATAAGTTTTTGGCTGATATCGAGCTATTTGGCAACTTTTGTTTAATTTTCTGCTGAAGGAAGACGTAAACTATGTATTCCACTGGCGAACTGTCACTCATGCAAATACTTCTAAAGCAGAAATGCTGAAAGAAAATCTACATCACATACCATTTACACACTCCAATTAATGACAAATACTATACAGTGGTTTAAATCGCTACAACGGCTCTTCATGCACTGCTCTTAGTTTTTTCGGGAAGAACTGTTATCAAGGCTATACTCTGTAGCTTTCTCACAAGGCTATCAGCTGCTTAAGCATTCAAAATACCATTTTCCTTTCTCTGACCAACAAACACAAATATTTTACAATATACCAACATTTCATACTACACTGCTTTCACGTACAGTTACTATAAATTCGCACACAGCTAACAATTCTGAAATTCATCTCAAGTCTTGCACATCCAGACCACCTTGTATGACACACTTGTCTCCACATAATTCTATGTAAACGAAACGCGAATTTCACCATAATATGTATTTCTTTTCTCATTACATACCTACAAAAATACACACACGGGCCTTCTTATTTACTGACCCACATTACAATCTACTCGTCAACCAGCTGAAAATTCATAAGCAGATATTAAAAAAAAAAGGGTCACTTGGATTATGGCTGCCATACATCACTTCGAAAGTGTAACTGTAACAGCAAAGCAGATATATCCCCTTTGCCCCGGAAAACAGGCTTTGATATAACAGGATGATGTAAATACATTCATAAACACGCTTACTATCCGCACAACAGACCAGAAAAATCAGATGAGAACTGAATTACCTCTCCATTTGTGACGTTGATGCCCAAATATATATCACCAAAGGAACCACTACCGATTTTTCGCACTAAGCGATATTTTCCTCCCACAATAAACTCTTGTTTTCCCAGACTTGAGGCTGCCATCTTGAAATTTGAAAGTCTGAAATTTAGAAAGCTAAAATTAACAAATTTAAATCAATAATATACACACTACCACTTCCACCAATACACCGACATCTCTCTCCCAATGACTGACGTAGGAACAAAGCAGCTCAAAGCATTGTGGGTCGTCATCACATGGACTACGTACTCAAAGCAAAGACAACAATAATTCATTCTCTCGGTTAAGCGAAGAGTTAATAGAACCTGAATATATATATAGTCATTATTAAATACTTGTTTCAAGTGTTATATATAATCTCTTTCTTGAGAAAAGTATTCAACTTTTTAACAGGTACAGGAAACAAAACGAAAGACACAACCGGAAGATCATTATTTTAGTCAAATCCAAAATTTCGCTTTATGAGGCAGGCGGTTTGTCACGTTTCGTCAGTCGTCTGTGGCTATAATTTATTAGAGAGGCTGGAGAGCTCTTCATTCCGTATAGGAAGCGTTATAGCATGTTTACTGGTGCAATGATTTTATTCTTTAATTGATGAAACTGAGACTCAATAATACCTGTAACATATTTTGAAGCCAGTGTTCTGATGTTCATGAATATTTCATGCAGAAGTTAATTCACAATACGTTAGTGCATTCCCACGCGGGTTCCTCCAAGCTCATCGAATTAATTGAAAGTTGTGGTTAACACGACAGTGATTATGATTGTTAATTCAGGGTTACAAATGACACGGTCTTTTTTTTTTGTCCCCCCCCCCCGNTACAGCCCCAGTGGGCCTAGGCCTACCTCCATGAACTTCTCGGTTCACTTCGGTAGACACGGTCTTAGTGTATCTTATTTTCCGAGAAACTATTTTCAGTGCCTAATGCCATGTCCGACGACACTTATAGGAAGAATCTCGTAACGACGCTCACAGGCCCGAGCAGCAGTGCACCTGCTTTGTCTTTATAATATGTTTATTATTCTTTGGGCTTTTTAATTTATTCATGAGCGTTTACCTAGCCCAGAAATATCAGTTCCACACCTATACTGCCGTCTGGGGGTTGTGACGCGGTGCAGGACGGTCACCTACACAGTAGTGTGGTAAGTGGATACTGTTTGGGAGGACGCGCTACTGCAATCTATCCTTAAGAAAGAGGCTGTACGTTCCATCGAAACGTCAATACATACCTCTCACATAACACGGTGTTACTTTCCGGGAAACGGTAATATTTTTGTCCTAATTACAATTGTTATATTTCTATTTGTCTTCTCGCCATCTAAGAACTGTACTTCGTCTGCACGACGGTTTATCTGCCTTTTTATTTCGTTATAAATTTCTTTCAAGGTTTCAATATATTGTGAATTTTTGTACAAAGTCAGGTTCGGTTTGTCTCTTCTTTGTCATGTAGCCGCAGTGCTCTTAAGTACGCTGTTCGATGTGTAAGAAATAATGCATTTCTGCGGCAATGCATTATTTCCACTGTTTCAACAGTTCGTTGCCACTGTTATTCCTAGGCAACGATCTGTTGGTATTCGATTTGTCACTGTGGGAACTCAACAATTTCATTTGTAGCCGTTGCGCAGCGATGGACGACGTATAACACGTTACAGTATATTAATATTGAGTACAATTAATATTTTAACAACCAATCAACCTGTCACAGGTGTGACATATATATAATAGGTATATAAAAATACGCGCGTATTCGAATGCAACGTTGTGTCAAAATTTGAAAGCAATCGGTGAAGAACTTTCGGGGATTTAAGATCCCGAACAAACGAACATTTTACATTTTTATTTATATAGATATAAATATATATATATTTTTTTTTGCTACACCAAACAAATTAATAATATTCAAACGAAAGAAGAAGAAATAAATGTGATTCGAAATCCACTCCTCAGAAGCTGCACGTAATGTCCTTGACACAAACAAATTATGGTGTGGCCACACAGAGCGCTACGCTATGTTCGCTACGTACGCTACATACGCTGTGTACGCTATGTTCGCTACAACGCGTGGCCACACAGAAATCTATGTTTGGTACGAAACTGCTCAGTCTTGAATGAGATGTTGGTCGATCGTGTGCCCGGGGGGGGGGCAACGATGATTCCGACGATGAGCTTTTGCTGTTACTTTCCTTGTGTAAACGTAAAAGGAAGTGGGTGCATGACGTGAACTTAAGAAGAACAAAGTTTGCTGAATTTCATCATCAGATGAAGCAGCTACGTGATGATGAAGTTAAATTTATAGAATATTTCCGAATGAATGGGGTTGATGAAAATATTTTAAGTTCTTCACTTATAGATAAAAGAACAATGTTTGTGCATTACCTGGTGTATTCAATTCTCCAGAAATCATGTCCCAGGCATTATCCTGCATGTTCTGGTTCCGTTATTCTTCTAACTCTTTGTTCCAAAAACATGAATACTTCCTTTCTTCTTCAATTAATCCCACCAGTGTCATTTTCATCTAAGCGAATACTGCCCTGAATGATACGTAACACGTGTTGTAATCAGTGGGAAATTACTGAGGCGCGCAGCTGACACCTGGAAGCGAGCCCAGTGCGCATGCCCGTACAGCGCGATGTTTTAAAAATATAGCCGAGAATCAAACACTCTGCGACGCAGCTAACATAGCGTACGTAGCGTACGGAAGTCTGTGTGGCCAATCACATTGGCTATAAAGGGAGATATTTTTCTGTTCGTATAGAGAACGTAGCGTGCGTCGCGTGCGTAGCGCTCTGTGTGGCCGCACCTTTAGACAGTTAGTTACGCGTCTAGCCGTTCGTGGTTTCCACAAGATCTGCCAATCGACTGGCTACCATCTCCCAAACGAAAACCATCGCTGTCTGATTCAGAATGCGGGAGGTACCAAATCATAGACTGGAAGCTGACTAAATCAGTGACCACTTAAGAGGTAGAAAACTAAGGTACGTTGTGCATAATTTACAGTGTCCGTGTGTGTGTCTGTACACAACCGCAGTCTGGGAATCACACATCGATTTACAAGGGTTGGACAAAATAATGGAAACACTACAGATACTGTAGGTGTTTATTAACATGGTGTTAGACGAGCTGCAATCCTAGAAACGGTCTCGCACAAGTTTAGAACAATCCATAGAGGAATTTTATTCCATTCTCCCTGAAGAACATCTTCAAGTTGTTTTAGAGATATTGGAGATCGGCATCTGTTCCTCATTGTAGTTTCTAAGCTGATCAGAGCGGTTCAATGATGTTGAAATCTGGTGATTGTGCTGACCAGAGAAGATGTTGAAGTTCGCCTTCATGCTCTTCAAACCATGGCTGAACAGTTCCAGCTGTGTGAATGAGGGCATTGCCATCTTGGAAAACTGCTCCGTTGTTCAGAAATAACGTCTGGATAATGGGATGCACCTGATTACCCAACCTTTTTACGTACTCCCTTTCAGTGATTCGGCCATGAAGGATAATAATGGAACCAACAGAATACTACGATATTGCTGTCCAGACCACCACAGAACCTCCCCCGTGTTTCACTCTCGGAACCAGGCATTCAGGATTATAAGGTTCTTTGAGCGTTCTCCAAACGCAAACTCTTCCTAATGTAGGGAGCAGCGTGAAGGACGACTCTTCTGACCACATCACCTGCTCGTTTCCAGTTGTCAGATGTCCAGGTTTTATGGTCGTGATATAATCTGAGCATTACCATCCGTAATTGGAGTTTTAGCAATTGCAGCCATACTGTGAATGTTGGATCTTTGGAGCTCACGTCGGACATTTTTTTTTGTGTGGAAATAGGGTCTTCAAGACGAATATTCAGCTCTGCTGTCACCTGTGCTGAGGTAATGTTGTGAATATTTGAAACAGTCATTCTCATTTACGACGATCCCTTTCTGCCAATGTTGATTTCCGCCCACCGTTCCTCTTCGCCGATATTTATTTATTTATTTATTTAACCATGATTCGTGTATGTGACATAACCTTCGAAACCGTCGCTCTCGATACACCTAATAATGTTGCAGTTTTTGTCACAGATGATCCACCTTAAACGATCAGTCCTCTTTCAAAATCGGACAAGTCTCCCACTTTCCGAATCTTTTAAACGTACCGCCTCGCAATATAGTCACCAATCCATTGAAACGAGCACTAGAGAGTGGTAACAAACGGAAGAAGACTCAGTAATGTCAACTGAAGTTTTCCGAATGTAGCCAACACAGTCTCTATTAATCACTTTATTATTATTATCATTATTACTGTTATTATTTTGTCTAGCTCCTGTATGTCGATAATCTCTAGATACGAAATTTTGCTTCATCATTGCAACACGTCGAAAGCAGCAAAGTAGAGCCTAAAAGCGTTGGGCGTGATCCGTCCGGTATCTGTGATATGATTATCAGTGCATATTATTAGAGCGTTGGAGGTTGGTGACACGTAGGTGGTTACCTCTTGTGGGTGAGTTCCTTTTTCATCATACAAAGTAATTTATGTATTATTCATATTATATTAGCAAACTACATGCGACGATGTAAGGTTTACAGTATAATGTGTATGTGAATTTGTAGGCAAATGGTAATAACAACTGAATTAACTTAGAAAAATAGATATTCCATGTGATCTTGCCTAGAAGATGAGATTCAACTGGTGGGGATTTCCCGTTTTGAACTGTTTTGAATTTGTCCCGCAGTTGTGATATTAGATTTAGTGTATTATTATTGCAAAGTTTTGTGTGCTTAAGACGGCGTTACATGCACCATGTACATGTAGAAGAAAGGAATATGTGTTTTTGGTGTTTCGGCGTCAGACCCAAAACTTGAAATTCGTAAGCATGATAATTTTAATGTGTTATTTGAATAATATATAGGATACACTGTTTCGTCTAATTATTGGAATGAGGCTATTAAAATTATTATGAAGTAGGCCTATATAAATTCACCTTATTTACATATGTAACTGTTTTTAAACAGTTTTCATAATTCTTTCTTGGGGAAAACTGTAGTTGCTCGTGCAACTTCCCAAAATTGCCCACTTATGTAATATTTAATTTTAGTTAACTTTAATATACTGTAAGGTTGCTGAGGCCCCATTAACGTTGTAATTTGGTGTGCAGGTTAGTTTCTTGTAATGTATTTTGTTCTTGGGATATGTTCTGTAGCTGTACTGTACTTCAAAATACTTTTGGAATGGGAAATATTCTGTATTTGTAAATACTTCCAGAATTGTGTGTATTTTATTCTGACTTTTCTGTTCTGCTTTCTAGCACGTGGGATCCACATGTATTCATTTACCAATTGCTAAAGTAATTTGAAATTTTGTACTCTTAATTGTGTTTTCTATTCACTGTGGTGGATGATGTTATGAAGTATGATATGCATATGTAGGGACCATGATATAGCACAGGCAGTTAAGCATTGGGTTCCCACCATCAAACCTCAGGTTCAGTCCCAACTGATTTCATGTTTGAATGAAGCTGGATGAAGTGACACCAGAGGAAGTTTTCCTCAGGGTTTCTCCAGTTTCCTGTGATAATCATTATACCTTCATTACCCCATATTTATTTGACACAGCCCCCAGAGGTGTGCAGTCGCCCTGACCAGGTAGCACACAGTGATATCCTCAGTTTTTAAGTCTGAGGTGTTAACTCTGACCAGGCACTTGGCTGGTTATTATAATAACAGGCATTCTTACTTCCCACAGACAGCAAATTTTCCATTGTCTCATAAATTTCCAAAACTTTCTTGATGTGGTGAAACTTTGATCCTTTATTCATATGTGCTTTAACAGTTTGCTGTTCAGAAAAACACAAGCAGTTGTCTTTATGTCTTTAAATTGTGTAATTGAACATTGGAACAGTATTTGGAGTGTATAAAAAACACAGCTGTGACATAGAATTGATGGTTTACAGTTGTAAAAAGGGCAAGGTTTGCAAGGGCAAATAGTCAACCAAGAATTTTACATCTCTGTAATCAGGTGTATGCACAAGGCACTTCGACACTGTCATCATGACCTGTGGGCACCTTGACATTGGACTTGTTGCATGACAGTGCAAGACCATACACAACCCTAAGTGTTAACAGATCTCTCGCTAAACACAACATTACTGTGCTTCAGAATCCCCCACACTTCCCTAACCCCTGTCCATGTGATATCTTTCCCTTTCCACGACTGAAAAAAAAGACACTAAAAGGATGGTGTCATGAGAATATAGAGGCTACTGAAGCGGTTGTGACAGTGGAACTCACAGCCATACCGAAAGAAGCATTCACCAGCTGCTTCCAGGACTTGCAAAAACGCTGGCAACAGTGTACTGACTGCGGAGGGAACTACTTTGATGGGGACAGGAACCATTAGTTCATAAGTAGAATTTTGTATTTTTTTACAACTTTAAGGACGATTCAGTCTGATATAGGCCCTGCCAAATCTGAAAGGAACTGTGAGAGAACTAGTGGAGGAGTAACCATTGGGAGGACAGGAGACTTTACATATGTTGGGAACTGAAATGCTAGGCTGTGTCCCAACTGCAAAGTGTTGTAACCCTTAAGGCTGGGGCCACACGAGCGCACAAAATGCGTCCATTGTAACGAACATACTTTATGACGGACGTTGCTGAGGACACCACACAGATGTAGAATGCGGTGCATAGTTTTTTGTCTGCAGTGGAGCCAGAAGAAAGCGTAGCATTCGCCTCTCTTGTTTATTTCTACAACAGGCGTCACGACGTTCGTTGTGCACTCATGTGGCCCCAGCCTAAGATAGCACTTGTCCCGGTCGCTACTGCGAGAACCTCGGATCCAACAATAATTTTTGTGTTTATAGATTTGGTGGTCCTGGATGATGATAAACTTATCATTATTTTTCTTAGTTACATGCAACACAGTACAGCATAGCAAAATCGGAAATCCACTACTGTGCTTAACAAATTTAAATGTAGTTTGTGAAGTATTTTTCAGTTGCTCTGGTCCAATGGCATCAAGATAGAATGAATTCAGATGAGCCCACCAGTTCTGTTTGGATATTTTTATATGCAGATATTTTAAAATTATGTATATATGTTGCAAAAATGTGTGTATATGTGTCAGATAAATGTAAATACTCTGTGAAATGATATCAGACTGCATGCATTCTACATATAAAGTACGAATAGGATTTTTTGTAACTTGAGTTCATGGCCCCTGTTTCATGGTATCTGGTGCATCTCCTACTGTGAGGCACATGTTAATTTTCCTGATGAATCAGCTGATAATGTCTGGAATGGAGGGAAGTAATTAACTTGTAGACCACATGATGGTGTTATGTTTCATGGCAAGCAGTGCAGTTCATGTGTGAGTTTGTTTATGATTTGCCAGCAGTAGGCAGCAGTTATCAGCTCCATTAACCATTTGTTCTCAGTTATAGTTGGTGAACAGTGTCGTGCATCATGGTGCAGCATACTTTACAGCAACAAGTATTTCTGTATGACACCTATGTGAAATATGGATCTCATGGAATGTGTCAGCAAAAATTTCAACATAAATTTCGTGATGAAAGAGTTCCCAGCAGACAAGCAATTCATAATTTGGTGAATAAACTTAGAACAATGGGACTCTTAATAGGCAAGAAACAAAAACATAAGTGCTGAGTGCTTACTTAGGAGAAGTTACATGACATAGGGGCCATACTTGAACATATGCCTAGAAAATGACTGAAACGTCTAGCTCAAGAGACTGGAGTATCAAAGTCTAATGCAAGAACACAACACAGTTGCTGAAGCCATCCAGTGAAAGTTGATGTTTGGTGTGCTTTAAGTGGAAGGATTGTTGTACCTGTTATTTAATGGAACAGTTAATTACGAAAAATATCTACGTGTAGAGGCGACGGCATTTTCAACATCTGTGATTTGTGAATTGTAACTACTTCGTTCCAAACATTATCAGCTGTCAGGCTTGCTGATTCATCAGCATAATTCGCATGCGCCTTGTGGCAAGTGGCGCACTGATCACCGTGAAGAGCAGAGCCATGAACTTGTCAGGTGGGTAAAAATATTCCCTGTATATGTTTACAGTGTATTGGTGGATACTTATATATTTCTTAAATATTTGATTTCAGGTTTTTAAGCTATGGATCTTTCAGATTCTTGTGCCTTGTCAAATGAAAGGTCTTCACCCCCAGTGGTTCAAGCAGATGGAGTAGACAAAGTTACAGCTACACTTGAAAATATCACATTGGCTGATACAAAATCAAAAAATTATGTGACAGTAGTACAGAATACTGTACAGTACCATAGTATAGAAAGTACATGTTCTGGTACTGTGCAAATAAACAGTCATTCAGGAGAGACATCAGAAACTGAAACACAAGAGCCTGTAGCAGCCATTGATGATGAAAACTTTTTGAGGGAACAGTTAAAGTCCCTGGAATGTCCATTTACTTGGAACTTACAAAATGAAGGGCGCCATGAAACATCTGATTCAATCATAACAAGATTAAGTGAAAAAATTGAAGAAATTGTAGAGGAAGGTGCATTTCAATGGCGCACATTTACATTGCTGCTTATAATTTGTTACGAAAATTTTCGCAAAGGTGATATTACAGAGGCATGGGACAAACAGAGAGAATGTGAAAAATATCTTAATCCTTCAGATTCCAAAGGAATATACGAAAGTTTTTTTCTGGCAACAAAAGATGCCCTATTCCATGTTATCTATGCATGTAAGTGTCACCTATTTTTTGAATCTGGTGTTCTGAATGAGGCAAGGCAAACACTTCATAGTGTGTGTAAATTTGAAGAAATGGATAATTCATGCAAGGCTGCCATCTGGGGTGTTCGGGCAGTTGTTTCAATGGAATATGGCTATCAGGGAACCAAGGTGAAAAAATATTGTATTGATATTCACATGTTAATGTGTTCGTATCAGTGAGAAAGTTCAGAAGGTGGTAATATGAATGTACTTTTTGTTGTGTTGCCTTTGTCATGTGTGGAGAGTTAATATGTGTGCTTATATTCAGGTGTGTATATTGTTACCGGAGTGAATGACAGTTGTCCATGTGCTCAAGTACAGTGCTGTCGCGACATATGGCACTACATATTCTGAGATGTAACCATTGAGCTTCATCATCCAGCTGATTTTTACTCCCAGGGAAAGTGCTACTGGTTTTCACAAGATGGGTGGCTTGATGGGTCGTATGACTATACTAAACTTGGCACTGAAGACAAAACATTCTGAGCACCTGTACTAGGAATTGAATTCTGGCTGTCCATTCTGTAACTGGATGATCAGAAACATGACAGCTAAATGGAAAGCTGGGGAGGGAAGTAAAATTGTCCCTTTGCTTAATTAATTAAGCACTACACCATGAAGGGTGGCATGCGGTAGCGTAGTTGGTTGAGGCACTATGCTACAAGCCGGTAGGTCGCCGGTTCAAGTCCTGATGAGGTCATTGGATTTTTTCAGTTGACCTAATCCTTCTGGCCACACTGTGGCCCTGGGGTTGACTCAGCCTCTTAACAGAAATGAGTACCAGGAATTAATTAAATAACTTTCCTGGGAAGTAAAGCGCGGCCGGCGCATAAGGCTGACAACCTTACCGCCATCTTTGAGCCGATTGTTTAGAGAATGTGGGAAACTCAACATCTCACAACCCTGTGGACCTCCATGGCCTGTTACAGGGATAGCTTTACTTTTACTACACCATAAAGTTGAATGTGTAGTGGATGTATCATCACATCATCATCACTGGCACGACAGCCCTTTGTGAGCACTGGCCTTCCTCAGGATTGCTTGCCATTCTTCTCCATTCGATTCTACATTCCTCCAGTTCTTTACACCCAAAATTCTTATGTCCTGCCACACACAATTATCCCATCTTAATCTTGGTCTTCCCACTCTCCTATTTCCTTCTGGTTTAGTATTAAGCATTTTCTTAATCGTTCAAGCCTTTTCACCTTTATAAATCCAATAATGTCTGGTTCATTAAATAGTTTGTATAGCTCATGGTTACACCTCTTCCTCCATATTCCATTTTCTTCCACTGGTCCAAAGATATATCTCAGGATCCTCCTTTCAAATATACTTAACAGTCTTTCATCCGATCTTGACAGTGGCTGGAGTGGATGTATAGATTCACATATTCTTGACCTTGACACTAGTTGAGGCGAGTGGTCAACTTCATGCCCTGGCTGCTTTACCCCCAGGGAGCAATTCCCTGGTAACCATTAGATAGAACAGGTCTGGACAACATGGAAAGGAAAAAAAAAATGTTACATGTACTGGGACTCAAACTCGATCCCTGTCAATCCCAATAGTCAGTTGCTATACCAACTGTGCTATCCCTGCTAGGACAAACAAGCCTGTAGGGTATAAATTAAATAAGTGGTGCTAAAAAATTTAAATGAATGGGAAAGACTATTGAAGCAATGGGAATTAATTTTTCGGGGTTGTGTAGAGTTTATTATTGGTTTCAGTGTTCACATTCTGTTACCAGAGAATGTGATGGTTAATTTAATTTGATGGTTGAGATTGAACATTTTGCTGCAGTGATGTGTGACAAGAGATCTTAAAAAATACGCATATTCTGTTAAGGTGACTTTTTGTAGAATATAAAACAGTAACATGCTGGTTGTGCAAAAATTTTTCATTTAGCTTAGAATTTAACAGCAACAGTTAGTGGACCAGTGAACCAGGAATATGACATGTTGTAGGAACATACTTATGAACTCCATATGAAATACTGTTCATGGATCATTCGTTACAGACATGCCAATTGTTCAGAGGTTTGGGGTTATATCTGACATTTAACAGTTTCTATTCCCAGAAGAAACAACCACTACCGCTCTTCTGCTAAGAACATCAGTTGTTTTATTGACGTGCCTGACAACAGTAGTAAAGCTAATTACAGGCAAGCACTGGGGAAAAATGTGCAAGAAATACAAATAAATTCTCACTTGTTGCTAAAGAAGTAAAACCTAAAAAACTGGTACAATAGAAAATGCGTGCATTATGTAATGTGGCTATTAAAAGCCAATTATAAAGAGAGGCAAGCTTTAAGGGAAAAGAATAAAATTAAAAATAATCCAGTAATGACCAAATGAGCTAAATAAAGCTGAGAGTCTGAAAAAAAAACATTTTGTAATATTAAAAGATCCAGTAATTTTTATTTAATGAAATACAGTTAATTTTGGAAATATGAGCATTCCTGCAGACTTACTAGCCACAGAAACACATCTGGCTGAGGACCTAATCTTTATGCAATGGTAGCGCAGTCTCTGAATAACCTAGTAGATAAGATATCTGGAAACTAACAGTATCATTAATGGATGAGCAACAGAATTTATTTTTAAAAACCATGATAAGAAATAGGGCATTGAGGTAATGCTGAATTGGTTAAAGTGTTGAAAAATTTAACTTATACAGATCTTCATATTCTCACAGATTCAAGTAAAAGTACGCCAAACATGAGACTGAAAGTTTTCCTTGAATTCTATCAAGTTGGAACAAATTAGTGTAAGAGGTTTCCAAGTGATAGGTATGTACTCTAGTTCAGACTGCACTAGGACACTATACAAAATCATAACACCCTCAATAGTTGAAAAAGAAGACATAACAAATGAAAACGAGTATTCTTAATCTTGTGGAAAATAGTATTTGACATGGTGGTAAAAACAGAGCTTACAGCCAATAAAATTCCAAGATTTTGAGACAGTGGGAATGAGATACATTGTTGCTGTTGTTAGTTTTAAATTAAAGATATCACAGTTTACTTATACTATGAGGGTTTGAACTTTAATAGTGGCAACACTGCTGTAGAGACACCATGCAAGGGAACCAAATAATGTCGCTTATACCACACGTTAGTTACATACCTACCTTACCTCAGAGCAAATGGACTCTCCCTTCCCACATCACGCACATGCACAGTGACGAGAAGAACAGAGCCTCATGTTAGCTGGCGGTCTAATGTAGTGTTGTCACGATGTATCTAAATTATTACCCGGTAGAGTCTCATCATCGGCATAGACCTACAGTTGATGTGTCCCGTTTAATTTCAGTCCTATCTGGTTTCCCTGGACTTTCTAATGGCATATTCTGAAGCAAAGTTGAAAAGCAGTGACGATAAAGCATCTCCTTGTTATAGGCCATTCTGGATAGGAAAATTATGAGACAAATGTTTACCTATACGACTTTACCATATGTTTCATTTAAACACATTTTAAACAGCCTAACTAGTTTCATGGGTAGCCCAAACTCTATCAGAATATTGTACAATATTTCCCTCCTAACTGAATCATGGGCTTTTTTGAAGTGTACGGATAGCTGATGCACTGTTTCATTGTACTCCCATTCTTTTTCTCCAGTATCTGATGACTGCAAAAGATCTGTTTCATCAAAACCCGCACCAATGATCCCCAATAATTTCATATATGTATGGACTAAACCTTGAGAGAAGAATATTTGATAAAATGTTGTATGAAGTTGATAGCAGTGATATCCCACGATAATTACTATAGTTAATTTTATCACCCTTCTTGTGAACTGGTACAGTAATAGACTCCATCCACTGATCAGACAAATTTTCCTTATTCCAAATAGAATTAATTAGCTTATAAATTTCTCCTCCTGCTTGAATAAGTTCTGCCAGAATTTGATCACTACCTGGTGATTTATCCCTTTTCAATTTTGCAATAGCAGCTTCAACTTCAAAAGGGTTAGCATCAGGTACTAATGGCTCAGCTGTATGTATTTCTATCTTCCTGACATCACTGACCCTATGTACATTCAAAACAGAGAAGTAATTCTTCCACCTATTCAAAATGTTGCGGGAATCTGCAAGCAGATCACCATTCTCATCCTTCACTAAGTTACTTTTAGGTTGGTAACCCCTCTTGAAGTCATTTATTTCTCTGTACAGGTCTCTAATGTTCTTGTTCTTGCTGTTCATTGCAAGCTTATCAGTTTTGCCTTTCTATATTTCCACTTTTTATTCTGGAAATGCATGCTGGTTTCATGTTTTATATTGTTCAAATTATCCCTATTTATTTTGCTTTGATCCTGTAACCAGTGCAGTTTGGCTTGTTTCCTTTGGTCTAATAATGTTGAGCATTCTTCATTGAACCATGACTTAAGACTTATGCTTCTTCAGTTCATAATAACTTAGACTCTCTCTGGCAGAAATTTTGATATTCTTTAATAGTTTCCCAAGTTTTATTAACATCCACCTCAGTGTCTAAGTTTTCCAAAACTGCAAACCTATTTGAGATTTCAACGCAATACTGCTCTTTACCCTCTACCTCATTTAATTTCTTGAGATTGAACCTTTACATATGAACTCTGTGTGTTGTTTGCTTGCTCACTGCCAGTCTTTCCCTGACCTTTGCCACCACCAGGTAGTGGTCAGTATCACAGTCTCCTGCCCTGAATGATTGGACATCAAGTATACTTGAATGCTGTGTCCTATCTATCAAAATATGGTCGATTTGATTGTGTGTCTTCCCATCAGGAGATGTCCAAGTAAATTTATGAATGTTACAATGTGGGAACAGTGTACTTTTGACATAAGATTTTTTGATGTGGCAAAGTTTACTACTCTAACACCATTATCATTACTAATTTCGTTGCAAACTCATTCGCAATTGTAGGTTTGAAAATGTCTTCCCTATCTACTTTGGCATTGAAATCTCCTAACAGAATTTTCATATGGTACTTTTGGAATTTATCAAATACATATTCTAGGTGTTCATTGAACCTGGCCTTTATATCATCAGTTTTATATTCTGTTGGAGCATGAACATTGAGAACAATTATATCACACCATTGACCTCTTAGTATTATGTATGACATCCTATCAGCAATGAACTCTACCCTCTTAACTGCTGACATGATTCTCTTATGTACAAAGAAACCTGTACATAATTCATGATTCTCATTCCCCTTTCCATAGAAAAAAATGTATATTCGCCTGCTGCTTTAGTGCCACCTCTGCCCCATTCGACCTCCTGTACTCCCATTAACTCTTAACATATTTTGAGATTTCTTCTGCCACTGCCATGAGCGAACCTTCCCTATACATACTTGTAAAATTCCAAGTACCAAATCTCGTATACATTTTCATTCACATAGGTCGTTTATCCAAGGAATCCATCCAGTAACAAGCTTATTTTTTACAGTGAGGAGATTTTATTCCATGCCCAACCTCCAAGCTGGAGACCCACCTCTTGTTGATTGTATTCAATTGCTTATTCAATATATTCACAGATACCCTCCATATCTGGAGGGCGTGTCCTCCATCCGCAACCTGAGGATGCACCATGCCATGGTGACAAGGGACCCACTTAACATGGGACCTAAGACCAGTCTTAAAAAACCTGAGCATAATGCAGTTGACAGAATTTTGTATTTTAATTTTTTATATGAAAGTTATATATAGAGCCACGCAAATTTATTTTAATGTTAGTGATGATTGATGGCCAAAAGCTAAAGTATCATTAGATAAAAACTAAAAATTTTCAAATTTGTAGGAGTCACTTCATAATATAAAATTGTTACTTGTGTTAATAGTAAAATTGTTTCATTTATTCAAGGCTGCTGTGGAATATATCGAGAAGGCTTTGGAACTGGACCCAGAGCAGGGTGAATGGCACTTTCTGTATGGAAAATGCCTTGGTCGTATTCGTCGCATTTACAATTTCAATGAGATTCCCCCACAGAAGGAACTGAAAGCTCTGGAAAATGCAGCTCAAATGACAAAAAATGCTTCCTATATAATTTTCTTAGCACAGGCTTACAGAGAAGCATCATTCAGAGTCTTCTCCATCCACAGGAATGACCTAGCACCTCTAAAGGGGGAAATTGACAAGATGTGTGAACGCTCAGCTGAACTTTATAGGTATGTTTGACTTTTAAAACATGAATACAAACAATCACTAACACATGACCTGATGAGGAAAGTGCACCCACATGCAAATATGCAAGTAATGTTATCTTCATTCTCTAACCTAATAGTGGCCTTTGTGCTGCAACTAACAGCTTCATGTTGAAGCAACATTTATTTTAACTGATTACTGGGAATGAGTTGTTATTGTTCATGTTATGTTGCCATTTGTGTAACTGATCAAAGCATGGTATTTTGATTATTATTGGCTTGCTCAGGATTCTTTGCTGCATGTGAATCTTTTTACAGGGTCTATGAAGTGAGTATACAGAGATTGTCTCTGGAACGATTGTAGTATGATTCAGCTAAACAGAAGTTTAATTAAGAGCAAAGCGCTGTTTACACTTGATTGTACAGTATCAAAGAAAGGAATGTCTCTCTTCTCATATTACATCTCAGCCCTCCATTTCATAACTGTTATACATATGTAATTTGAACTTCCACCATCTTGAAAGCTGAGCATAGTTTGAGTTTCAGTTGCTAATTAAAATTTCCAATTATGTTAAACATTAAAGATCATGACACTGATTTACCAGTTTGGAAATTCTTGTCACCTAATAAAATTTAATTATGATAGTTTCTAGGTAGCTTCATGATCAAAGCTCCATGCTGTTGGTTCAGAGTTCTAGAAGTAACTCCTGTCCATATTCTTTTTACAAGCACAGGTATCATTTCAAAACTTCCTCCCTGTACTTTCCAAGTTATCATATTCCATGTTTAGTTTTGCATATGCTGAGCAGCAGTAGACTTTTATAGTTCACAGGTCAGTTTGGAACAAACTGCATTGACTTCCAAATTCAAGTCTGGTGTGAAGACAGTTCATTTTACAAAAGTACTCATGTTGGCTTGAGGAACATGTTTTTAGTATAATTTCATGGGAGCCATTAAATCTCTATGACAGCCTGGTGGAATTAGTAGCAGCACTCACTTTTCAAAAGAACAAGTGATGTCCTGTCTTTACACACTATTTTTCTGTCACCAGAAGGAAAGAACTATATGAAGTTTGAAATTTGTGCCCTTAGGCAAATCCAGAGGGACAAGAACATATTCTGCCAAAAGGCACAAGTGTAGACCTACTATGAAACAGTTACACAACTGAAGGTCCAGTTCATCAGGTATCATGAGAGGTTGTATGTGGGGCAATCCAAAAGTTACCGAAATTTGAATTTTGCGCGCGAATGGTTATGAGCACATCGAAATACTGCTAGGTGTCTCCTCACACATCCTTCTTGAATCAGTGTGGCAAGCGGCGTCGAGTTGAGTGGTTGAGTTTATTGTTGGTGAACATATTTCCATTGTTGTGTTTCTGTGAGTTTGCAGTTTTGCGATGGCTGACCTGAGAGAGCAGCATGTCTGTATAAAGTTTTGTTTCAAACTTGGGAAAACCACTGCAGAAACGCACCAAATGTTGAAGCAAGCATTTGGTGAAAACAGTTTAGGCCAGACACAAACTTACAACTGGTATAAGCGTTTTAAAAATGGCTGAACATTGACTGATGATGACGATCGTTCAGGACGGCCGTCAACGGGCAAAACACCAGAAAATGTCGCAAAAGTTTGGGATCTGATTCTGCAAGATCGTAGACTGACCATCCAAGACCTCTGTAAGACCTTGGGACTAGGTTATGGTACATGTCAACGAATTTTGTCAGAGGAACTGAACATGAGGATTGCGGCAAAGTTTGTGCCATGTCTGCTGCAAAATGAACAGAAGCAGCATCGCTTGGAAGTCTGCAGGGAACTACAGCAACAGCTTCAAGAGGATCCAAACTTTCTTTCGAAGGTTGTCACTGGTGACGAAAGTTGGGTTTATGGCTACGACGCTGAAAGCAAGCAGCAATCGTCGCAGTGGAAGAGCCCTTCTTCACCTCGGCCAAAAAAAGCTCGACAAGTCAAGAGCAACATTAAGTACATGTTGATCGGTTTTTTTTTATATTGAAGGGATTGTTCATAAAGAGTTCGCCCCTCCTGGTCAGACAGTCAATAAAGAGTTCTTTCGCGATGTTCTAAGGCATTTGAGGGAGGACATGAGGAGAAAACGTCCAGAGAAGTGGCACACGAACGACTGGGTACTCCACCATGACAACGCACGACCGCATACGGATTACATTGTGCAGGAATTTTTGGCTAAAACAAGATGGCAGTTGTTCCCCACCCACTGTACTCGCCAGACTTAGCTCCATGCGACTTCTTTCTCTTCTCCAAGATGAAAAGCAAGTTGAAGGGGCAAAGATTTGATACAGTTGAGGAAATACAGGTGGAAACGCAGACGGTACTAAACACCCTAACAAAGAAAAACTTCCAGGATGCATTTGAAAAGTGGCAGAAACGCTGGGATCGGTGTATGCGCTCCCAAGAGGACTACTTTCAAGGTGATGGTGCAGAATAAGATCTAGGTAAGATGTAATAGTGTTTATTAATATATTTCGGGAACTTTTAGATTGCACCACGTACTTGTAATCCTGTCTCAAATCTTGGAGACCCAGATTGGCAGCAGTTGTGTGCCCTGAATGTAAAGAAAACCATTAGCCTTAAGATTGCTTCCACTCTGTAACAGCTGTAAATACAAAGGCAAGAAGGAACATGTGTAATGTATGATGGAAAAATCATTGTTAGAAGAAAACGACTGCAAGTATCCTGTGAAAGAAATGAATCTTGGATCTAAAATTTGATAGAGGGGGTAGTTTTTTTCTAAGGGTCTAAACACTTTGAGCTCTTGTCATGTAACTCGTTCAGCAGTTATTTATGACACAAATTGTTTACCATTGCTGGAGCATACCATCTGAATTTGTGATCCCCTGATATGTGGAATAGTGTTTATTTCACTGTAACTGCCAACATGAAATACCAGATCTTTACAGTCAAATAGTTTCCAGTATGCATGTCAGACCTCTGTCCTTTCATTCATATTGATTTTCCATTAATGTACTGTAGCAGAACAGAGTTCATAATGTTCCAGATCCTTGATCACTGTGTATACATGCAGTTAATGTGTTCAGTGGTGGTTTGCCAACAGCTTTGTAATAGTATGAGGTAAGGTTTCACAATATTAAGCAAGGCCGATCAAATTTCAGTTTTATCTCTACGAGGCACAAGTACTTGATTCATCTCATATTCTATCTCATGTTACTGTGAAACTCAGCAAATCTGTGCAATTTATGTGACATCCTGTTGCATGGCATTATTATGATGGTCACAGGACACTCCATTGATGTTGGTACTTTGTCAGTCGTGTTTTGTAGTTGAATGAGTAGTAGTAGCTACTTACATGTCCCTTATCAGGAGTTTTGTTTCCATGCCTGGCTCAGAACAGAGATTAGCGAGGGTCCTTGTGAACACAGGAATAAACCTTGGAGTTCCCTAAAATGTAGGTAATTTCTGGACTAGCTGAGCAAATATTAGCATCCAAAGGACTCTGCTTGCCTTCAAGTTAGTTTCTTCAAAAATTTTATTTATTCTTACCTTTTGGTCTTTGTTTTGATGCAGAGTTCCCTTGTGATATGGTAATCACTCTGGTTTTGTCCATGACCTTATTGTGTAAAAAGTCTATATAGTAACTGCCTTTTGTGGAATTCATTTAGATACTCATATTGTCATGATTTAGTAGTGTGACTATAGTTGGGGTATGGATTGGCTAGGTGCCATCACTGATCTCCACGCTTCACAAATCACTAGCACATGCTAAGTTTTCTCAGTCTTCACTAGTCAATATCTTGGCAATGGATTTTAACACAGTAAGTGTAAGAGTCTCACTGTAACTACAGCACACACAAAGATTTCTCTTCACAGCTGGACTTTCAATTCTCTCTCAGCTGACTGTATTGCTATCTCTTCTTAGTCTCCTTTGTAGAGCTCAACTGTACTGATTGCCCCAGTTTTCTTCTTTATAACCACTTTGCACAGACTGAGTAGAACACACTGTTTCCAACAGTAATTATATTATAGAGGCATGTTTACCGATCTGTTGCATAGAAATGGGTTGCATTATACCATTGTTTATTTGGCTGTTGCATAGCAATGGCTGTACATGCTACAATATTTATGCAGAGGCCTGCAGGTGAGGTGAAAATTTCCATGCATCCATGAGGAGGCACCAGTGTCTGCTTGGTAGCATGTTACTATATTCGCTTCTTTCTCAGAACTTTTGAAGCTATCACATACATAGACAGCAGACCGGCGCCATGTGTAAATTAAATGCATTTTTTGATGTCATCACCAAGGGCACTACTGCCCATTCTTTTCTGAATCGATATGGAGGCTCATTATTCATTTTTAAAATATTTTCTGTTGCTCATGTTTCTGGTTTTCTTCATTTTGCATTTTGGGAAAGTGTAAGGACAGGCACTGAACCTTTCACAGTGATCCCATATTAGTCACACTATTAAGTTTTCTTCATTTAAGATTTTCTTCAGTTTAATATCTAAATTAGCTGTTTCCCACAGAAGACTTATATTAAGTTTGTTTGTGAAAACTGTATTTTCTAAGGTATACAGTAACTTGTAGGGACTAACTGATAAAGCCAATTAAATCATGCTCATTTAAAACACCAGGGCAAATGGCTTTACTGTACAATATTATCAACCAAAAAGAACATAGATGGATAGACATTTTCTAAAATTGGTTTGGAAAACTTTGTTCCAGAAGTAGGATTTCAGGTTCTTGCAATGGTGGTTATGAAGAGTTCTGTCTTCTGGGATATAACGCTGTGTAGTTCATTGAAAGTCAACCAGCATTTTGAAGGAATGTATTAGAAGCAAAACTTTGCTTGATGCCTATTTCATCCTGGTTTCTTGCTTGGCTTACTCTAAGGTCCTGAAGATTGAGGTGACATGTTCCTCCAGAACCTTAGTTGACTTTTCAGCAGACTACATGCCATTATAAGCCAGGAGTTCAGTATTTTCTGAAAGAGAAGGTATTGCCCCAGAAAAAAGTGTTGCTGCTACACATCGCATCTTCTCATCAGTGCAATGTCTTGGGATGGGAGCCCTATCATACAGTTTTTACTGTCCAGTGTCATAGTCTTAATGCAGCCCATGGATCAAGATGTGATTACATCACTGAAGCAAGACTATTTGGCTGGCCTTTTCACAACTCCTGTTGAAGAAGATGACAATATTTTGACATTCTAAGGGGGGGGGGATGGAACTAGAGATGCTGTACTTGGCATGTTGTAGGCATGGCTTCAATGAAAGTAGTAATGCTTGGTCAGTTGTGGAGAAAACATATCCCGTTTTGGAGGCAGATAGGTATCGGTGCTGTGGAGGAACCTGGTGCTTCCATCTTCAGGGCAGAAGATTGAGGCTGTAGGTTCCTACAAACTGAATGACATTATGTCCCAGAAGACTGTAATATTGACAGTTACTGCAGTGAATACCTCAAATCTCACATTTGGTGATGTGGTATGTCCTGAAAACTTGCATTGCTTTTTTATTCTTTTTTTTTTTCAGGCTAGCACTGGATTTGAGAGGCGAATGTGCACATATCAATATCCGATGTGCTCAGGGCTTTTGTAAACTTCCTTATCCACATAAAAATATAGCATTAGCAAAGAAATGTTGCAAGAAGGCTCTGTATCTTGCGCCCAATAATGCAATGGCTAACCATGTCGCAGGGTCAATCTGTGAAAAATATGAAAGTGATTTACAAAGTGCAAAGAAATACTATCAGATGGCTGGAGACCAAGGTGCTTATGGTGCATTCATGGACCTGTACAGATTGAAGTACAATGAGGTAACCAAAGTTTCACATACCTTTATATCCCCACACGCGCGCACAAACTACACCATTTTCATTTGTATGACAGAACAGGATGGACTTAACAATCACAGTGTGTATCATGGAGCTCAGTACCTTCAAATGCCAATCTCAAACTGCTGAAGCTGTCTGAACATTTCAACAGCATGATGCGCCTTCTTGACATGACCTTGACACCCTGAAGTCTATGAGAGAAGGATTCTGTTATAGCAGAACCCTGAAAACGTTTAGATTATGTCACTTCAGAAGCCCTTCTTGTAAGCAACCTATCTATCAAGTTACAAGTGCCAAGGAAACAAGCCGTATACAGCAGCTGAGGAATGTTTTTTTATTGCTAGTGGGGTGGGACTAAGTTCCTTGTACTACGGCCACTTTTGGCCTATTGTACCAGCCCCAGATGATAGGTGAGGGTGATTGTGGAGCAATTGGTGGAATGAAGTTTGGCAGGGGAAACTGAAGTACTCTAAGAAAACCTGCCCCAGTGCCACTTTGTCCACCACAAATCCCACTTGACCAGACTTGGGATTGAACCAGGGCCGCTGCGGTGGAAAGCCAGCGACTAACCGCTTGAGCTATGGCGTGGCCAACTGAGGAATTAGTATGTTGAGATATAAGAAATTTCATGAACTTTCCTTTGCTGGAAGAGACGGTTGTTTTGGAAAATCAAGGAATGACCTTCACAAGTGAAGTGACAAGGCATTTACAGCAGCTGAGCAACTCTTTCTGAGGATGTATTTCCACTGGACATCTTGATGTGGCAAAGAAGCGGATCCATTTCGTTTTAACTTGAATTCTGTCAATGATGATTTGATAGAAGATGATCTCGTTAAATTATGAACCAGTGGACATATCAGAATGGGGTTTGAGACAAGCTTGCTTGAGGATTTCTGATGTGCTCAACTAGCACTATTTCCAGTGCTGGAGACCCTTGTAACATTTATGACGACATTTGTATGAGGTTGGACTTTCAGCACTCTTGCACATTAAAAAAATGCCAGTAATTGCTTAAATGCAGATCTGTGGTTATTTAAAAGAAAGTTCATTTCTTAACATCATTGAACAAAAGCATCAGCAGAAGAGTTGCTGAGCCAGTAAACGGAAGTATGCAATTCTTCATGTATTCTTAAGTTTAATGTGAAATTGAAATAAATGTATGATCCTGTTTCTTTCATTTTAGAGTTGAGATATATGTTAGGTTTTAAGTACTGACCTACTTCATTGACTTTTCATAAAGGGTATGAGGTCATATTTCGAGGAACAAGGGGGCTCATTTTGTAGGAATTATTATTATTATTATTATTATTATTATTATTAGAGGGGGTGGGTTTCCCCATGCACTTAGACCAGTTATTGGTCCATTGTGCATCCCCCTTTAATTTCTACTGTCGCCATACCCTACCAGTACTGGTGCATGGTATCAGCCCCGTTCAGTCAACGAGGTCTGCCCTCAGTACCTGATATTTCCCCCATCTACCAGAGGCATTGGAAACTACTTGGGTGGGAAACTTGCTGCCTAATTTGGCTCAGAGGTCTCCTAGAGACATGAGGATCTTTTACGTGCCGTAAATCTATGACACGGGACCCGCGGCTTAAAGTCCCTCCCGGAGGACTTGTTCCCTGAATTTTTTCCGCCCTTAAAAATTCCACGACCTCCGCCAGGTTTGAGCCTGCGTACCTTGAGTCATGAGGTGGGAACGTTACCCTTAGACTATGGAGGCCGCTTTTGAAGGAAATGTTAGTGAAGATTAAGAATAAAACTGGGTTTGTGAGGAATGAAATTTTAGAATACCTAGTGTTTCACTCTACATAACATAAATAGGTTTGCTGATATTTGCTGTCCACAAATTTAATCTTTTTTGGGCCTTTAAAGTTCAGTATTGTTGCAGTGTAATGTATGTTTGAATTGTATATCTTTAGACACATGCTTTCAAAGATTCAGGTCTGCTAACAGCATACAGATTGTCCCTCACTTTGCAGTGATATGAATTACAGAATTCTGCCAATACAAACTTCACCCTTGGCTTGGCCTTCCATCTGAACACCAACTACTCATCTGAAATTCCATACAAACTGTCATCTTTCCTTCAGTCCCCGTAAAATAACCTTCAGTCCTCAATACCCTGGAATTAAGCCACAAGGAAAGATGAAAGTTCTGTCATAGTTTACAGTACATACGTCAAATTCTTATTTTTTATATATAGCATGCTAGGATTTCCACTAGTTATAGCATAACCCAGTATGTTTCAGACAATAAAATAAATGATTTATACATTTTGTGGTCTCTTTTTGGTCTTTGGGAATGTAATCCCCAATTATAACAGTGCACCTATGGGAAGTAGGTACTTGCATTTTGAAATTTTGCTTTACAAAATCACTTCAGGAATGCAGTTATTCATGAGTGAGAGTTGCTGTATTCACCTTCTGTACAGAATCTGTGATTGTCCTTCGGGATGGTAGAGAAGTAAACAGACAGCATTCCAAACATCATTACAGTACATAATTCTGTGCTGACATCTTAAAATTTAATGAACTGCAATGATCACGAGAAGGAACATCCATTGCTTGGTAATGGCCGCTAAACATCAATACCTGGGCTATCACTAGGCAACTGCTTGGTAAATTGGTTCCCGCAACAACAGATATGCATGCAATGGTTGAGGTATTGTTGAACTGCAACAGTGGAAGTGGTGTTTTCTATGTGGCTTGTGCCAAAACATTATAAGCAGGGTCAGTCAAGTTCTGGATTTGAAATTGTCAGCAGTTCGATTGTCAGTTGGAAATGAGCCTGTGAAGAGAAGACTACAAGGTTGCTGTGAAATGGCCACCAGCCTGGGACCCACTTAGTTGATGAGTTCTGCATGGGCAGTTGTGATGAGAACTTGAGCACAGCAAGCTAAAGAATCTCCACTGTGTTAAATCCAAACTGTAAAGTGTAGATCTGAGTGGTGTGTGGTGTAAGTCATACGTACACACCCAAAATACCTGACAGTATTTTCAGAGTTGCAGTAGTTTCACAATACTAAATAAATTAGAAAGTAAAAGACATTATACATATAATTTAATACATATACTGTATATCCTTCATACAAGTTACTGTTCGAAAAAAATTTAATTTTTTGCCCTAGGCTTAGTTTTGAAATCAAGGTGTACATCTGAGTGTCCAAAACATGTAGGAAGTAGATAAAAACAATTAGCACATTTGAATAATCCTTATTTAGTACATTATTATATTTAAGCATCCTGTTGCACTCCATACGATAAATGATATAACCTCCGTCTCAAGTGCAAACAATATATTCTTGTGTCTTTGATCTTGCTCCCTACACTACATGTTTCGGCCTCAGACGGCCATCATCAGGTGTATAACACTCACGTCGCTGTCACACTGCACCCAGTTCAAAATTTAACATCTAAAACACTCTCCCTGTCATTATCAACTTCTACTTCGTTGATAGCTGTCCACCCGTAGATTACTTCACACACGTTAATTTTGAGTTTATTGTAATAGCACCATAATAAAATCTTTAGTTCTAATTTTAAACTTTTAAATTCTTGTCCAAATTTTAAAA